TCGAAGTCGGGGCCGGTACCTTAGCCAGGTGGGGTGGGTACAAGTGGAGATCCACCAGACCCTGAGACAGTGCGCAGGGTGATGGTGGAGATTACGTTTCAACACTGTTCTTGGTCACCGGAAAAAGCAGGCACCACACAGTGTTCGCGACCAGTCTCAGCTCTTGACCTCATTCCCTGCCTCTTCACATTGTTGTTTCACGAGCGTCCGCAACGGCCACCAGGACCCCCGTCATAAGAGCGCACGCACCAGGAATCTTCGCGACCTTGCCTTGTCTGTGGTAGTGAGGCCCAAGGTGAAGTGCTACGGCGCAAGTAAGGTGAGAGCAGGACCGGCCTAGCATTAGCATCTAGCATCTATCATCTAGGCATAAGGTCAGGAGAGAGTGAGCTCAAGTGTGATGATGATGGGTGTGCCGACTGGACTGGTCCACTCACATCCAACTGCGAATTGGCAGGGCCTGGAGACATTGGATACTTTACCACAGTAGGTACCTACCTACACAATAAGATACCTAGGTACGGAGTAGACATGGGAAAAAAGATGAGGCCTTCTGCTTCTGGACGCGGCAGACGAGAGCAACCAGCGACCCTTCCTCACTCAGATTCTCAGAAGTACGCATACCATGTAAGACTACTCCGTAGCAACTGAACAGTGAACAGTATCCGTACTTCGTAAATGATCAGAGACCAACCTGAAGTGAGAGCAGCAGGGGTTAATTGGAGTAGGTACACCGACCCCCCGCCCCGTTTTCCTCCTTTTCCACTCTTTTTTTTTTTCTTTCCTTTCTCTCCCGTTCCAGTCCCTTTTTTATTTCTTCCGTCACCCAGTTCATTCGCTCCCCCAAGCCTCACCCCCCCCCCCCAGTCACTTCCTCGGCCTAGGATTCGTTCATTCATCAACCCCCATTCCCTGTCGCTCACCCCCCCGGTCGTCGCTCTTTTCCTTCCCTTCCCGTCGTCTCCAAACTGCTGGCTTGCTGCTAGGTACGGATACTGCTGCACCTGCTGATTGATGCTTGCGCTCCCCGATTTCCACCTATTCCATCTCTTTGCCGCAACCTCACTGGCCGGAAGTGCTCACTCACTCACTCACTCATCTACGGTACCTACTCCGTCTGCTACACACCCGACTCTTCGTCGCTGAGGTGGGCTTGTCTTGCCTTGCCTTGACCCCATTACCTAGGTACTCTTCCTGCTGCTACCATTACCACCTTACCTTACACCTGAGGTACTGTCCCCGGGCTGGCTGCACCTAATACTGTTGCTTCCCCCTCCACCATCCATTCCCATTCTTTTTTCCCCCTTCCCTTCCCTCCTTCAACAGTCCTGCCTTCCCGCACCCAAAAAGTGAACACGATCGCGTCTATTATTAGAATCATCCACGCCAGATTCAGCCCCATCGACCTGCACCTCACATCGCCTGTCCATCCCAGAACCTGTCGCATCTGCACTTGTAATGGGATCAATGTACGTTCTTGATGCGTCGTCTTGTCAACTCTCTCCCCTGCTCTGACAGCCTTTTGCTCCCACTGCTTGTCATATACCATTACTCCCGGGATGCGCTGCCTTGTCCCATGCAACTGACTGACGCATCGCCAGTTCGGAACCACTGCCCACGAGCCAGCCCATTTAGATAAAAGCGATCAGCCCTCCCCGGCCTAGCTTTTGTTTCTACCTCGCTTTCCCGACCAGCCAAGCTAGTCGCTGCGATCAGATATATCCAGCTCGCGTCCCTCCTCCTCCTCCTCCTCCCCCGAGCTCCAACCAGTCTCTCGCCTCCTCGAGACCCTCATCCTCATCCTCACCCTCACTCAGGACCAGTCGACTCTACATCGCGACTGCAACGACTGAGACCTCGCCGACAACCCCGCCGCCGCCGCCGCGAAAACCGCTGATCGGTCACGGAGCCGCTCGCCTCGACAACGTCTTCGCCCCCCGTTCAACGCGTTTCGCTGCCTCATACCCGTCAGCAGCACCCCCAGAGTATCTAATCCAAGATGGGACGCAGAAAGATTGAGATCAAGGCCATCAAGGATGACAGGAACCGCTCTGTGTAAGCTTGCGCCCTGACTATCCCTCGCGATACCCAGAAACCTTTGGCTGACTGTCGCGTCGCGTATAGCACCTTTCTGAAGAGGAAAGGCGGTTTGTTCAAGAAGGCGCATGAGCTTTCGGTGCTGTGCTCCGTCGACGTCGCTGTCTTTATATTCGGCAGCAACAAGAAGTTGTATGAGTATTCTTCCACGGATATGCGAGAGATGATTACTAGATACACATACGTGAGTTCCTCCATTCTTTCTGGGTCACGAATGCGTAACGCTAACCCTGAGATAGCATGGCGGCCCGAATGAACACAAGGGCCCTTCAGACTTCAACGGAGGCAACGACGAGGACGAAGATGAGGATCCCGAAGGCACCCCGCCGCAGGAGTCTCACATGATTCCGCCTCAGTTCCAAGGACAAGCGCCATTCCCTCATATGCGACACCACACTCCCTCAGCCTCACCTCCAATTCCTAATGGCGTGCCTTTCCCGCAACACCATGGCCTTCCCGTACAACGCGGCCACACCCCGCAGCCTGGCATGGGATCGCGGCCTGGTTCTCGACAGGACATCCGCCGGATGGGACCGAACATGGGCCCTCAACCCGTCGGCCCTCCCGGATCTCAGCAGCCTCCCGTGAATGGATTTGCCTACATGCCCAACCCCGCCATCTACAATCCCCAGAACCAGCCCAACATGCCACCAAACATGCCTCACGGACTCCCCCAGCAGTACCAGCAACATGGCCCTCAATACTCCTCATACGCGCCCAACCATCATCCTCCGCACATGCAGCAGCATATGGAAGACCAGCGCCGTTCCATGCCGCCAAACTATCCGCAACAGCAGGGTCCGCAAGGGCCTGGGCCTCAAGTTTCTCGGATCTCGCCGTCTCCGCCACAGCCTCCTACTCAGCAATTGCCGCCGCAACCACCTCAGATCTCACCCCCGCCGCCACAGCCACAGCAACTTGAGCCTCAACAACAGCAGCAGCAGCAGCAGCAGCGACCGCATCCGTCGCCCCAACCCCAGCAACAGCAACAGCCGCAGCCACCTCAGTCTCAACAGCAACAGCAGCCGCAACAACATCAGCCTTCGCCGCCGCAGTCTGAGGAGATGCCAGCGCCATCGGAGCCACGATCCGAGCTGCCCCAAAGACCCCAGCCGCCCCTGCTCAACACGGACAGCGCGATCAAGAAGCTTCCGCAGCGTAAGCAGCACAGCATCTTCACTCCCATTGACGAGAACCGCTCCATCCTGTCTCAGCACTTGGCTTCATTCGCTTCTGAGCAGAGCATAAAGGCAGAGCCTAATCGGCCCCCATTCCCTGACCAGAGCAACATCAAGGTTGAAGGTAACCGCTCTCAGTCAGTTGATGTTGGCGCAGTATCCCGGACCAATGGTTCCACGACTTCTCCGCCCATGCCTCCGCGCGCCAGCACTCAATCTCTAAACAAAAGCCGCAACATCTCCGTATCGTCAATCCCAGAGACAACGTTTACTCCGCCATCTCGCACCAATAGCATGAAGCTTGGTGGTGGTGCGCGTCCCCGTTTGAGGGTGGAGATTCCCGATGAACCTTCGGATGGCGGTAGCGCAACTGCCGAGTCAAACTCTCCTCGCAACTCGACAGAATCCACATCCCAGACGACTCGGCGCCATGCATCCGACTCGCACTCTTCCGGCATGGTTCTGCCGCCGCCATCCCCGTCAGCCCAAACGCTCCTCTCAGCTGGCGCCACGGGCCCGCCAAACCCGTTTGCTCGCCCACCCCCGCAACAAAACAACAATATGAACATTGACACCCCCGTTTCCGCCCTCCCATCCCGATTCTTAAATAACGAATTTCTGCCCAGTCCGAGCAGCTTTTATCCGGAATGGTATGCTCGTGGCGGCAGCGATAGTAACACACTACCCAGTCCATTGAACTTTGCGACTCCAGTCGTTGGCTCTGGTCCCAGCTTCTTGCGAGACGACAATCCGGCTACGAAGCGCAAGAGTCCTGAGATCAGCGCCAATGGTCCGCACGACGGTCCTGAGGCCGGAAACGAACCCAAGAGGATTCGGGTAGATTCTTGATTTCAAGTTCCCCTTCTATTGTCGACGCTTTTTTCGACGCCTTATCTGTACCATTCATCTGCATTCTGGCCTCCTTCAGACCATGTATGGAGTGCATTTGGTTCCATGATACCTCTTTCTTTTCACTTTACGGCATTAGCGTCACGCAAGATGTTTAGTTTACCTTCTCTTCTATATCTCCGTGTACGCGGAGGATTATGCTGCATTGCTAGGCGCAACATCGGCCACGGACAGGGTTTTTGATATTTTTTTCTATTTTTTATTCTTCATCCGGACTGATGAGTATTACTACTCTTCGTATTCGAGACGGCTTTGGAGGGAATGATGTGCCCACGGACATGTGAGATGACTGGAAGCATGGAAAACTGGCCTGCAGCAGAAGATGGATGATCTCGGGGCGTTTGGGTGTGATTTCTGTAGATTACTGAGGGGCAATGGCTGGATAGTTGGAATGAACTGTTGATCTGCAATTTGGCGTGTTCATTCAGACAGTGATGTGTGTGCAAAGTATTGAGTGAGCCAAGATCTTGGCGCTAGTGACTTTGAGACCGTTTCGCGGCGCGGCCCGTGGAAGCGCGAGCTGGATGTGTTTTTTGAACATGGCATGTTGACATATTCTTTTCACGGTGAGCATGACATGAAATTTACCCCGAAGTCTGAAAGTCGAAAAAGTGGCGCGTGGGTGCGTCTTTTTGCAGGTTCGCACAGGCTGTCGCGGTCAACCGCAAAAGCCTCCAGCAACACCTACCTTGACTTGCCAAAAACCGATAGCGGCCACCCTTCCTACAAGAGCTGTTTTACTGTAAAGCACAGGCGACACACGCGATTCAGAAAGAAGAAGAAGAAAAAAAAGAATAGCGGATCAGAAAAAACGCAATGTTTACCCCGGCGGCGAAACGCCGACGTGTCGACGCGGCGAACGAGACGCTACGGAAACCATTTAGGTCGCCTTTGGTACAGCGGGACCGAGGCCGAGACTCGGGACCAGGCCCGGAGCGGAACGGGGATGGCTGCACCGCGGACGCTGCGGCGGCGGATCTTGCGGCTGAAAAGTATGATGATGGTTCGGCACTACCGACGACCATAGACCACCCGGCGGCAGCGTCATCGCCATTTGCTGCGACGACGACGACACCACGGCATGCTACGGAGAAGTTTACGACGCCTGGGAAACGGGGGGTGAGCGGCACGTCTACGTCTCGGTCTACACCTGCGACTACAGCTACGGCTGCGGCTACGCGCCGGCCCTTTAGCGTTCCGCGAGCGCGAGGGTCGCAGCTGACGGGTGCGTCGCCTTCGCCGCTGCGGACGACGGCGGCGACAGGTTCTTACGGTGTGAGTGCTAGAAAGACTGGTGCCGGTCCTGGGCTTGGTGGTGGTGGTGGTGGTGGTGGGAGTAAGAACGAGAGGGAAGCGGAGGGCAGGGAAGAGATTCTACGGCAGGCTGAGCGGATTCGCGGCGCCGTGGGAGGAGGGGAGACGGACGAGGAGCTTGTCGAGTTGATTGGCAAGTGGAGGGTTGCGAGCCGGATTGCGGCGGAGGAGGTGTTTGAGGGGTCTAAAGAGAGGGTTGAGGGGATGGGGGGGTTGAAGGCTTGGAGGAGGGCGAGGAGGGAGGATGAGGTGAGGTTTATGGCGATGTTGGAGGGGGAGAGGGAAGGAGATGGTGCTGGGAGGGTTAGGAGAGGTAGTTGTGAGGAGTGGGAGGGGGATGATGAAAGTGATCGTGGTGATAGGGAAGGAGATGAGGGTTTTGGTGAGGAAGAGGAAGAAGAGGAAGAGGTGAGTTTCCGGTACTGGGACAGGAACGGAGAGGATGAGGTTTTTGCTGACTTTGGGGACAGGAGTTCACAATGGGGACGATGCTCCGGAGTATGCATATCGATTTCGAGATTATCGGCTACGATGAGGAGACCGGGTGGTGGAGGGACGCGTGATGCGAAGCGCACACAAGACCCGGCTTTCTCGCTTCTTCTTTACTGCCGTCGTCAACGAGACTGGGCGAGACGAGGCGGACGTCTCCGTGGTATATGACGACGGCCGCCACACGGGGTCACAGACTGCGTGACGTCTACAGACCAGGCTCGAGAGCCTTTTTGGGCTCATCAGCTCGAGGCTTTATCTTTACCATCATTGGCATTCTCGGATCAAACACACGCTGCGAGGCGAAGAAGAAGAAGAAGAAGAAGAAGAAGAAGAAGAAGAAACACGGCGAGAGAGGCGTCGACCGGCGTAATCATCCTTTCCACAGTTGATGACTACAGAGAAAATGCTTCTCGCTTGCTCCTCTTGTTTCCCATTCTTGATATTAACCTACTTTACTCTGCCCGCCCTTTCGAGGGGATTGTAGAAGTCTCTTTTGGGAGGAGAGAGGTGGTCAGTGAGGCCCCCTGCGGCTCAAGATCCGACCCGACGGCCGAGTGGAAAATTATATCCAAGCTCACTCGTTCGGGGAGAAGAGCGATGGATGGTTGGGCAGGCTGCGAGACAGTTTGTCACTTACAGCCCTACATTTCCCGATATGGGAAAATTCGGTCTGAACGCTGGGTGGGAACCCCGAAAGATCCTAAGGCATAAGGGATAAGATAGAGCCTGTGCTTTTTTCGGCGAGTGGTTGCCGGACGAGCTTATTTCTTCCTCCTTCACGATGGGCGTTGCTACTACTATACTGTGCAGTAGGTTGAAGCCTGGGGGCAAGGTGGTGTAAAGGGACTGACTGTGAAGGTGCGTTGAGACGCGGGATGATGTTTCTACAAGGATATGCCCCCGACTGAATTCGTATTTGCATTGGGTGTTGTGTGCCTCACAAATCAAGCTTCATCTTTACGCTTGTTCCCTTTTTCTGCTAAGCCTTACTGAGGGCCCGTGTCGGTTTGTGTACGTGTGTGGGTAGAGGTCAATGTGTACCTTACCGTCTTCTCCTACTATGTGTGATGACGATCTGTGTATGTGAGCCGGCATCCGGGCCCCCCCCCCATCCACGACCCATCAATGGACAAGCTCCTACACCCACCTAGTTCGTTCTCGCCTCGCTGAACCATGATCGGTTGACGAGAGTTGTGGCTGACGCAGGCCGATTGATCCGATGTTTCTGTTGGAGGAAGGGGAGGGGTTTGTTGACATTGTAGAGTTTTCTATCGAGGTTTGGATATCAACGGTCAGATATTACTTTTGTGGTTGCTTACATGGTAAGTTTTGGCTGCCTTACGTACGCCATTTCATTTCCTTACTCGCCTTGGGTTCTTACGAGTGGTACTACGTGTTGACTGCGAATTCGGATTTGGTCTCTGAGTTTTTTTTTCCCTCTCTTTTCTCCATGTACGAATATTGGGGAACTGTAATGGAACTCGTAAACGAAAAGCATTGCGTGATGCATATAGCCGAGAACGAAGTCGTGTGCCTTCCGCGGGCGTTTGCGCGCGAAAACGGGTTCCGGTGAGCTCAACCTCGTCGTGTTCGGCCGGTGGGATTTGGGGGAGCAGTCACGACTCACAGCAGTAAGCAGTCTCGTCTCGATTCTCAAGCCATCAGCAGCAGTCGTCGCTTGTCTGGTACGGGCTAGGGAATACCGGGGCAGCACAGTGAGCTGAGCGAGAGTGTGAGGACGGGTGTCTCGGACAGTAAGTGAGTGAGCGAGTTGCTATGAAGCACACAAAAGTCGCCGCTCCGCCGCCCGGTTTCCCTATCTGAAGAGCTTACACCACGCCCATTGTCGATGAGCCTGCCCTGATTAACTATCCGTAAACTGAGGTGGTATCGATAGCGGATTCGACTCAGAGGCTGAGGGTTCGGGGGGGCGCTTGAAGTGTCTCGCCTTGTGTTCACAAAGTGTCTTATGGTTTGTTGTCGTTATCCTTAGTAGAGATATCCCGTTACGCAGGTGTGTAGGAAGGGAACACTCTAAGCCTCTCCCAGACTCACAGTCATCAATGGGACAGGAGCTATTGGGTAACTGCGTATCGAAGGCGGTTCGCCGTTCGGGACCCGAGGTGGATGAAACGGCTCTGATGCTTCAGCGTTGCCGCAGAATTGCACGAGCCGCACCTCAATCCCCCATCCCCACTCAGGTAAGGTAGCTAGCTGCTGCTGCGCTCCCCGAGAACAGCACACCCGTCACTACCTTTCTCTCTGTACCTCACCTCAGTGTCCACTACCTTGAGGTACCCATCGGACGCGCGTGTGGGGCACCTGTTGGAAGCGACAGCAGCTCAGTCGATTGGCCCAGTTTCCAACCTCCCAAACCTCGCTATCCCCCCCTGGCACACCAGCCATGCGCCGTGGAGAACAGAGTTAACGATGGAGCAGCCAGCAGGCCGCCGACCGACACCCCCATGTCCGAGCAAATGGCAACAGACTGAACAGAACAGGAAAGACGGGACAGAGAGAGAGAGAAGCGACCGGACGATCCAAGCCGGGGGTGTCATTTACTGTATCAGTGTACGCAGTAAGGTATCAGTGGCTGGGGGCTGCTGTATGGAGCAAGCAGCAGGCCTCCCCTCCCGTATTGTTTAATTCCAAGTTTCCTCCGACTCTATTCGTTCTGACCTGTGTTCAAATATATCATCTACCCGTTGCACTTCAAAAGTCTTGGCAACAGAGCCAAGTTTCTACACATACACACCACACATTGTCTCTGTCTGGCTGTAGCTATCCTTGCACCGGTCGTTTCTGCCAATCTTCAGCAGCAGGGTCTCTCTCGACTTGTATCCGTCCCTCTTTTGGCGTAGTTGATCTGCAGCTTTTCAACCAACACTTCGTCACCTTTCATCGAAGGAAGGCTTGGAAAGCTTCGATATTTACCTGGGCTGAGGAGAACTGGAAGGGAAAAAGGGGGGAAATCGCAAACGGGGCGAACCGACTTCCTGCAATCACACATTCACAAGATGGACGCCGCATACCTGAGCGCTCGCCAGACGGTGGTCAACTCGAACGACCTCCCTCCCGGCTGGGTTATACAGAATGGACGGGCGATTCCATGGTGGTACAGTCGGGTAAGCTCACATCCATCACTCTTGCCATCTACCTTTGTCCCCCATATCTAACATCTACCAAAACAGACGGGCGTCATCGTAAAGTGGTCCGTCTTCCTCGGCCTGACGACCCTCTTCGCAGCCTTCCTCATCATAGGCTACGCCCACGGCAAGCGCCGCCTGAATAAGGGCCTCCTGCCCCTGGGCTACCACCGCTGGCTCTTCAGCCGCGCCCAGCTCGCCCGCGTCGACAGCCGCTATGCCTGGCCCGCCGCCACCTACAACACCTACCGCCCCGAGTACTACAACACCCACCCGCAGGCCCAGGGCGGCGGCTACTACGGCATGCAGGGGATGCCGCCCCCGACCTACGACCCCAACTCGGCCCGGCCCCCCATGTACGCGCCCCCCGACGGCGGCAGCAAGGTCGACCCGTCCCAGGAGTATGGCGTCACGCCGCCGCAGCCCTCTGTTGCGGCGAACCACACCGGCCAGCCGTACCCGTATAGGGCGCAGTGAGGCCAAAGGTGTCATGTCCGAGGCGGGAGCGGCGGGGAGGAGAGGTGGCATGTGATTTGACGTTATTGCGATGGCGATCTTTTTCGAAGCGTGGGAGGAATATGCATTGTTGGCTAAAGGCGAAACAAAAGACGAGATGAGGCTGGAAATCATCAAGACAGGGAGTACGCAGCTGAAGACGGGAAGCCACCAGGAAGTGATTTCTCCGTCAAGCAGCTGCAAGATCTTACACATCGATGCTACATGTCTACAGAGACGGCGGCTGGATGCTTTTACACAAATAACTGTTGTCAATTGTACAAAGTAGTAACTTCTACCAACACCAATCGAAATGATACCAATGAAAAACGCCTCGCTGACCTGGCTAAAGATGCCGGGGGTTTCGCAACAATACGTGGCCCTTCGTGACGGCGTTGGGTATCGTCATAAAATATACAATCATTACTTGCCTTGAAGGGTCTCCTAGTCCATATCCATGGCGTCGGGATCGTAGTCTACAGGTGCCGCCATCCCGGTCGGGGTTAGGGGATCCGGAATGATGGCGTCTACAGGTTGCTGAGAGACGAAGGGCGGAGGCATTTGCACTGGGGCGCCTCTGCCTTCGCGCTCGAGACGCTGCCTCTCGCGCATGCGGGCGCGCGACTCGACGATGGCCTTGCGAACACTGTCCTGCTCACGAGGTACCGTCAGGGACGCGGGCTCGTTGTAGAGGACCACCTGCATGCCAGCAAGTTGGCCTTCGTCGTTGGCGAAAATGGAGGGAGGAATGCGCGTTTGGCGGAGGTGCTTCTCAATGTCCGGGAGAAAGACGAGCTTGCCCTCGTCGGGCTCGCTCTCTGAGGAGGACAGCTCATCGTCAATGTTGTAGATGTAGACCTTGTGCTTGGAGTCGTCGAGCTGCATCACTTCTTCATCGACGGACGGTTTGCGATCACGACGTCGGCGACCGGGGGTGGGAGGAGGGGTGGATGCTGACGACGAGTCTGCGGGGATTGGGATGCTTGAAGACGGAGTTGGCTCCTCCACAGGCACGTAGAGCTTCTGGCCATTCTTCTCTGCATGATGCGTTAGTATGAAAGCGGAAAGAAAGCTTATAATGTCGCGGGCTCGTATTGTGGCAGTTTACTTACCTAAATTCAGAAGACTGAGCCTTTTGGATAAACGTTCGTTGTCTTGGGACTCAGCTTTTCGTTTGCGCCTTAGCTGCCTCGCCTGCGGATGCTGGTGCTGGTGCTGGTGCTGATCCGCCTCCAGGGCGTGGGAGGGAGATTGGGTCCCGTGCAGTAGCATATTTCGGCGACTTTTGCTCTGGAACTTTCCCTCTTTCCTCTCTGCCTTCGTCCAACCGCTTCTTCTTCTGGTGTACCACCCCTATTAGCACTACCAGCTCTCTGGTCCGCAGAGCTGCTGACCGACGACAACGACGATAATATTCGGAAACAATTGCG